AAAGAAACAGTCTTTTCAGTATGTAAGAGGCATGTGTGTAAACCTACATGTAGCATAGTTTCTCTGCTGCAGTAGTTCTCATCCTTTTTAGACATGAGGCACCTCTCAGCTTTCACTCATTTCTTGACTAAAAAACACTGAGTTGCTTTTCTGTGGCAAAGAACTCAGAAAGAGCACAAGTCAGAATTAGGGGTGCCAATACAGGATTTCTTGGCCAATACTGATGGCCAATTTACAGGAGGAAATGCAGCCCAGCAGCTTGGAGAGCAGCCTCCTGCTGGTAAGTCCAGGGTGGGAGGGGAGGGGGAAGAAGGCAGGCAGATTGAGGCCCCCACGGTGAGGGAGGGAGCAGGGCAGGGGCAGGCGCTGCCCAGCTAGGGCAGTGAATGCAACTTCAGGAGCAGGATGGAGCTGCAGGCGGTTCATCTGGGGGATAATCTCCCTGCCACAGCGCACACCCCCTGGGGAGCACGGGGGGCATGTGCCCTGCCCCCCAGACTTGTGCGTGGGCGGGCTGCCCACTGTAGGGTCAGGGCCAGGGGCTGTGCCAGCCTCTTCCCAGCAGGGAGGGGCCAGGCTCTGAGCAGGCAGGGTCAGGGAGGGTGGCAGCAGTGCCGAGAGGGGTGGCTACAGAGAATTTTGGGGTGGCTACAGCCCACCCCATAGCCTTCCCTCCCAGCACCACCTGCCCCGGTGCAGCCTTGGCCCAGCCTCCCCACTGGGAAGAGGCTGGCACAGGCCCTGAGCCCACAGCCCACCCTCACCCCACACACAGTTCTGGGGGAGGGCCACAGGCCCCCATGCCTCCCCCAGGGGTGTGCGCAGTGGTGGGGAGCCATCCCTCCTCCACACCCCCAGATGAACTGCCTGTGGCTCCGTCCTGCTTCTGGGATCATATTCACCACCCTGGCTGGACAGCACCTGTCCCTGCCCTAACCCCTCCTTCACCATGGGGGGCAGATTGAGAGCCCCACCCCATTCCCTCTCACAGATTTATTAGCAGAAGGCTGCTCTCCAAGCTGCCAGGCTGCATGCATGCTGCACCTGCGCACAGCATTTATCAGTGACATTATCAGCTACACCGCCCAAAAAAGGCTGATTGCCGAATATGCTAATTTTCCTTTTATCAATGCTGATATAATATATATATATTGGTGTACGTCTAGTCAGAATGTTTTTGAAACTATGGATTCCTATTTGATATCTCTGGATTTAGTCTTGTGAATTAAATTTAGGTGTTTGCACACTTAATGCTAGGTGGCACACTTCAAAAACTTGCAGTGTGCCAGGGTGCCATAATATCCTGGGTGAAAGTCACCGCTCTACTAAACGTCATTTTGTGACTACTGGGGAAAAGACAGACCCAGCCTGAGCCAAGAGAAGCTTTGATACCAACTTCAGTGGCAGCAAGATAAGGTGGCTTCTTAGTAACCCTTGGTATTAAGGTTATGTTCTCTGCTACAACATTCATTGCATTATAATTGAAAGTGTAGAAAACTATGACAACTTCAAAACACTTTTCTATATACAGAGACAATCCTGTACTAGTCAAAGTAGTAGCTACTTGTTTGCTTTTTAGCAAACCCTTCTCCCATGTATGACAAAAAATTTCTTATATGCATCATTTATAGGACATCTACGCATTCAAGAAAGTTATACAATTCACTTGGTTAATATTCTTTACCTTAAGGTAATTTATGAAGAATGCCAAAAAGGTACTATATTACAATTACAATCTTGGTCATTTGGTAACTTGACAGACAGATCTCATGATGCTAAGGAGGTCTGTGATTTTCATTATTATTGTTAGCTGCATGAACCTAACATGCAACATAAGCATCAGAATGCTACTTTTACATACTGTACAGAGAGCCCAGCCAAACTATATCATAATCCTGATTTTACATGGTTAACTTCTCAAACGTTTCTTTCGAGTGTAACTACCTTTTTGTGTATTACAAGAAGTCACACGCAGTCTTTCAGATGAATCTATTTGAAATGGAACTTCAATAATTAAATACAAAATCTGTTGATAAATCTTAACTTATCAATTCCAAATCACTACTAAAATATATTCAGAGTTAAAATGCAAAGGAAAAGGGCAAGATAGCGAGTAGTGAAAATCTGAACAAGATGAAGTTCAGTAAGAATAATCCATCCGATAGACTGGAAATGTGGTCCGAGATCAATCCAGGTCATTCTGGATCCTAGCCCTACACTCCAAAGGGTCTGCAACTTCACCCAATTTATGGATGATGCCAAATTGGGTGGAGTTGCAGACTGTTTGGAGGGTAGGGCTAGGATCCAGAATGACCTGGACAGACTGGACAAACAGTCTGCAATCTACCAGATGAGACTCAACAGGGACAAGTGCAAAGTCCTGCACTTGGGATGGAATATTTGCATGTAGAGGCTTTTCTTCATTACCATAGGGGACAGGAGTAGGAACAATGAACTCAAGCTTCATCGGGGAAAATTTAGGTAGGAGATAGTTAGGAGGAACTTTCTGACTATGAGGGTGGTAAAACCAAGAGAAATTGTGGAAATTTTCAAAAGCAGGTCAGACAGAAACTTGGCTGGGATGGTTTAGTCAGGGACTATCCTGCCTTGAGGAGAGGACTGCACTAGATAACCTTATGAGTAGGGCCTGGTTTAAAATTGTGGCCCAATTGTGGCACATACCGCCATTTTGGGGGCTAGATCATGGTGCCCCCTCCATTGGAGGTAAGAAGCTTTTTCCTGGGCTTGGAAGTTGTTGGTTGCCTTAGGCAGAAAGCCCAGCCAGCAGCAAAAGCCTAGCAGCCCAGGGTGGGGGGAAGGGTAGCAAAAGGGACAGGGGGAGGAGAGAATTTGGGAATGGGCAGAAGAGGGGCTGTTTGCTCCTCTGGGTGGGAAAACTGGGGCATGGGAAGTTGGGGGAACCATGGGAAGTTGCCTTGGCAGACAGCCCTAGCACCAGATAGGGAAGAAGCTGTTTGTTCCTCCAAGTGGGAAAAATTCGGGAATGGGGTTACTTGGGGGCTGCCTTGCCATACGGGAATGCTTTCCCCAGCCTGCAGTAGCTACCTTGTTGCAACAAAGCACCACAATATGGCTGCTGGTTGGGGAACTCCCCAGCAAGAAGCCATATCATGGCATTTCAGTGCAAATCACAGTTTTTCTGCAAATCACCTAATTTTGTGATTTGCACAAAAACTGTGACATCTTGATTTAAACCATGTCCTGCTTATGTAGTCCCTTCCAGCCCTATGATCTCTACAGTGCAATGAAGACTGCTTTTGCTTTTATTTCATTTCAAGTCAGAAGCTACAGACAATTCGTGGTCTTGTTCTGGTGTTTATTTCTTACACTTTCTGCTCTATCTATGGTAATCAACGAACAATTCAAACAGCTGGTAAAATTTTCAGAATCGCGTAGATTATTTTGGAACCTACGTTCCACTGATCTTCAATGGAATTTTGGTACCTGAGCCATTCAGGTACCTATAAAAAACTCAAACCGGAAAGGAAAACAGTTAAGCACTGGCCAGCTTTTATTGTGTCTTTACACTTACATGCTGCAAGTTAAATCGAGCTTTGTAAAGCAGTTTTATGACTTGTCAGCTAAAAAACACATGTGTGATGTTAACATAGAAAGGAGGAGTTAAAAAATTGAAAAAAACCTGATGGAACAAATTATTCTTATCCAACATTGCCTAAGTTCCTCCCAGCAGTAAAGATCTGCAATTCGTTCTGGGCTAATAATGTAAAAAAGAAAATCCAAAAACAGCCCGCATCACCCTATATTATTATGTCTACTAATGTTATATTCCAAAAATGCAGCCAATTTTTAATAGTAGCCTGTCATGGAACTAATTTTTCCATTTGGATCCATGATTTTTCTCTTTTTCAATTAGTAAGTCCACAATACAAAGGAATAAAAAAAGTACAAGATTCCATACTTTAGGTACCATTTCATTAGTGAAGTACTGATCATTTTAGAAACCATTCAGTGCTGGCTACAAGAATCTACAGGATCATACTGCTATCTATTTAATTACTGGGAAAACATGAGCGCTTCAGGATCAAGTTGTATTAACTGATTTCCTAGTTATTAAAAGCACCCTCAGTTTGGAAGACAATCAGTTTTACTGCATTACTCTATTCCATTTATTAGACAATAATATTGGTAAATATTCCCCAATAAATTCCTTTTTTATTTATTAAGAGGATCTTACCTCGCATCAAGCTGTAATCGTGTCTTTATTAGCCAAATAGGATTGGTTGTTGTGATTGCAGTAAAACCTAAAGAAATATTTTAAAAAAAATTAGATTTGCTAACATAATAAAAACAGATTTAGTTAAGTCTGAAATGTATGCAGTAAGGTACGGTAGATGTGACAACTCGAACTACGCTGATTTTTAAAACAGTTCCCATTGTAGGCCTCTATTGGTATTATTACTTTTACAAGTCCACAGAGCCAATAAACTTTCTTACTTCAAGTTCGTTTTACATTAATATTTCATAAGTTCAGTTCTTAGTAAAGATTTTCTGTATAAAAGCAGCCTGATTTTCTGCCAGTCTATTCATATTAATCCCATTTTGTCACTTTTAAGCAGTAAGACTAGCTAGATTGATATCAGCCAATCAAGTTTTGAAAGATTTCAATAAACACATAGTGCAAATGCAACTAAAGCAAATTAAAATAATATAAAGCATTCTATGTATATTTAATTTACTACCTGAAATACCATGAGAGTTTAAAAGCATGCAAACTAAGTAACTGCTACTATGGTTCAGCTAAAAGGCACAAGTTACAAGGTACATTAAAAAGCTTTTTAATACTACATTCTCTACATTCTGGAGAGTTTTTGTTATTTAATATTCAAAAGCAAAGAGTGTTGTTTGGCCCCAGGAATACTTGTACAAGCATACAAACATTTAAGTTGTACAAAAACCAACAGTACTGCTTCTAACTAACCAGACAAGTATTTGGGATGCATTAGGATTATTGGTAAAAGCTTTGGTTTTCTGTCCACTTCAAAAGAAAGAAGGAAAGTAAAGAGTTTCTCTTACATCTACACAACCATAGAGAATGGAAGAGCAGATTAAGAGATAGCTCTGGATAAATTTACAGTTATAGTAGGATACATGCACCATTAATGAGGTGACATGTCTACAGGCGGGGACAGGGAAAGGGAAGAGCAGAAGCATTTGCCAGGCAGTAATTAATTTTGACACTTTGTGCTTCCTGAGCAACACACTATTGGCTGCCTATCATGGTGCAGGCATGTTGCCTCCTGCAAGATGGACTAGGGTTCTGGGAAAGCAAGTCTCTTGTTCAGTGCATTTCTGATGCACACTGCAGCTACATGCAATGGGGCTTTGATAAGCTTGTTTATGAAGATTATTTACAACTAGTATTGTAATACTACAACACAGTAAATATAAACTGCTTGCATACCAGTTACTTCTGTTCAATCACTTTCTACATTTACATTGAAAAATACACAAATGCCTGAAATACTCAAAAACAGAAATGCCAAAGGATCTTAACTGTTTTAAGGTTTTTATAAGCCTTAATTTAAAAGTGGGTGATTCAATCCTAATTTGAGATTTCAAACGACAGAATAAGACTATCCTTAACCAGCTTTACATTTTGTAAATTAAAAAGGTCATTTTCTAAAGATTTAGCTACACTACCCTAGCATAGAGGATAACTTCTAATAAACATGATTTAATTAATGAGAAGTTGATAAATTTTAACAAAAAAAAACATGCTTTTCCAAACTAGCTTCTTGTAAAAACCCTTTCTGATGCCACCCTATCAATTTACATGAAATACAGGCCATAACATGTTTTTGTGAAGGCAGCTTGATTTGGTGTTTAGGAGCCAGCACCTTATTCTCCCAAGGCCAAGTTGCATGTGCAGTCCTTTATAACTGTAGGTAAAATGCCATCAAATCCCAACAGTCCTACTTTACACCAATTTTGCACACATTTAAATGACTACACAAGGTACAAAGCAATGGAGAACTGGTTTTCTATAGTGATGCACAGAAGATCTTTAAAAAAGCATAGTGCAAGACAGCTATAAAATCCATTTAGAAAGCACTTGTAGGACTTGATTTGCTTTGCATGCCATTATACTAGCATAACTCCATGGGTCAATGCTGATTTATGATGGCAAGCCAGGGGTATCCCTTACTATTTAGTCAGTGCCAAGTTCTACTTGAATTCATGATTTATCTTCTAAGGTGCTTTCTTTCCTACTAAACCTAAAGGGCTCAATTAAGGCTCCTAGGTCCAGGGCAATATTGAGCAATGGAGGGGGCAATGAGGAAATTCACTACTGTACACAAGTGGAATATGTCACAAGCAAGATGCCTTCTGAAGTGCTAGGCGAGTGGTATATTTGCCTGCACCTTTGCTAGCCTTTTTTTTTTTTTTAAATAGAAAAATAAAAACAGATTCTGGTTCTGCCAATTACCAATATCAAACAGGCAGAAACAGGGTATACTTGTGTCCCAGCCTGCCTATTCATGCCTTTTGAAGTCTTCTAGGATTATTACATGATGGTATTCATTATTTTAATACCAGTTTCCCAAAGCACTAACTAATTTAGCTTTACAACAGCCTCATGTGGTAAGGGAACGTTATTCTGACACAAAAGGTCTCTTCCAAAACTATCAATATATTTAAAAGAATGAAAAACCGAGGTTCAAAGAGGCTTAATCCTCAGGCTCAATCAAAAACAAACAAACAAACAAAAACTGTCCAGTCATTTTGGGTGAGCCCTTTGAGACCTCAGAGGCCCAATTCTCACAGGTACTATGGCTGCAGAGTACCTTTGAAAGATCAAACACTGCAGGCCTCAGCTAAAGCAACCTAAGACTGAAGCATCCAAAGTTATTGGATATCTTTGATTAAGAAGTCTAAGCATCTTATCCACCATCACACAGGCAGCCCGTGTCAAAACTATCATTTAAAAGGACAGTCACACTTCACGTTACGTAGGCTTTCCTCACTTCCCCCACAATAGCTTCACATGTCAAATTGGAAAAGTTATGGAATGTCATGGTTATAACTAAGTAATTCACTAATTAGAAGCAAGTGAATATTATAAACAATGTTCTATCAAGAAACTATAGTTAGTTTTAAGTCATTACTGTCAGAATTTTAAAATGGACAGTTGAGAAATGTAGATCTATTTTTCATTATTAAAAAAGAACTTCTAACTTCACCTTTGATTATTTCTACAAAGTACAGCTGAATTTCAGATGGAAACAACGATTCTAAGTTTCTCTTTTAGAACACACCAACAAAAAGCTTAAACAGGTAAGATCCCAGGTATTCCTATTCTGCATCATATTTGAAAAGGTAACTGTAAGACAAGTGGAATTGAGAGGCGCATGTGAATATATAATACTGGATTCAAAATCCAAAGTAGTAAAATATAAAAAAAACCGCAACAACAACAAAAAGAAACAAAAAAAGGGGGAGGTCTTGATACAGTATGGTAACATGAAACCAGCTGCAGCATTTTAAAATGCAGCTGTGTGATGCTGAAAGACTGAATGGCCTGGCTTTAGTCTATGAAGGGGATGTTATAGTAGCCAACTTGGCTAAATAAAATAGCAGCTATCTGTAAAAGGTATTTTCCACCTTTCGCTGAACTGCACTGGAAGAATTAACTCTATTTAAGAGTTAAAGGAAAAGCGATGCTTTTGTAAAATGCATATAATCTGTATTCAGATAATGGAAGTGAATTCCCCTTATTTTTGTATTTAATAGATATTACAAACCCAAGGTGTGGTTCTTACACTAGAGGCTGCAAGAGACGCTCAGTTCAGTACTCACGAGGTTTAAGTTAGTCCATATTTCTGCAGGAAGTGACCTGCGGATGGGGAGCATGAGATGACACGATCTCACTCTTTTCACGGGAGAAATGTACAGTAAATGCCTAAAATAGACACAGGCTTTTCTGTATCATAACAACAAGCAGTGACCTCATCAGACACATGTGTACAAATTGAATCCCACTGGAAGGATTTGTGAATTAGTTATTGTGAGATCTAACTTTTTCAAGTTAAAAGTTTAGGAAAAAAAGAAAAAGAAAAAATACCAAAACAGGCCACAGATATTAAAATAGTTTTGTAAAGTGTACTGAGTACTGAAATTTCTGCCATTTGCAGCAGTTCAATTATACAGATTGTAAAATACTTACCACCTCTTTTCACAGATTTTAAAAAAAAAAGGTACCCAAAAATCCCATTAAAAAAAATGCTAACCTTGTCACAGGGCTGAGAAAACAGATGTCTTTTGGTATCGGTCAGACTTCCCAATTTTAGTCATTGGCTAGTGAACTAACATGTATTTATTTATTGCCTATTGGTTCGATAAATGTGTCCATGCTATTTAAAGTCACAAAAAATAAAAAGTTTATACCTACTATGTGCACTAATATTAAAGTGGACCAAAAATGTATTTTAAAAAAAATTGTGTTTAGCTTCTGAACTGTAGTTTAAACAGTCTTCTAGAACTGGCAGAACAAAGCCTATACACCCAAAAGATCTGCAGTCATAAGCTAGCGTGTGAATCTTTATTTTATTTTTTATTTTTTTAATTAAAAAGTAAAACAGAATTGAAAATAGTTCAACTCCTCATAATAGGGAAAAAAAATCCTGTTACTTTAGTAGGGCTGCACAGCAGTAAATGATGCACAGAGTTCATATGATATGCTAAATTTTTTAAATGCAACTTGGCAACTAGACATATTAAGGTTTTTATATTGACACATTAAGGTTTTTATACAAAACATATCACAATGTACCAGATGGGAAAAGATGCAGTGCTACTGCATATTATAAGAAAAAACAAACAAAAAAACAAACCACATTCAGTCCAAAACTTAACACTTTAGGAATGAAGGCAATGAATACTGCATGCTGTAGGCTAACGCTGAATAACAGGGATGCTGTCTCTCAAATTTTAAACACACGTGACCTTCCATCTACACATGGCACATATAACTAATAGAAAACGAGAGTACAGACTCCCTCCACAGGATAAGAATAACTGCTATTGACCTGAATGAGGGAGTTACTCCATCTTGTGAAGAGAGAGCAAGAAAAAGAATAAGCATACTTTTACATTTTCTTCAATGAAAGAGGTAGCTCAACTTCTTCCAAAAAAATACTATGGGCATTAGAATTCTTCCACACTTTAAGTATAAGGTCCAAGTCTAGCTCCAGATACTTGCTCAGAAGTATGGGACACAAAAACAATACGTTTTTAATCTGACTACTTAAATAGCTACTAACACATTACATACTGTGCCACAAATAAGGTTCTTTTCATGAGTCACAGCACTAAGTTACATTCACAGAAAATTAGAGGTAAGTGCCTTGAGCTTTTCTTTAATTAAGGGTATACAGAGGTGCAGTAATAGAGATTCTGGGGGCCGATACCGATAGCTGATTTTTAAGGAGGCATATTGTGCAATACCAATCTGATTTCTGATACCAGCCCAGCAACTTGAAGAGTAGTGTCCAGCTGGAAAGTCTGTTGTGGTTGAAGGGAAGGGGAGGTGGGAGGCAGATCAAGGCCCATGAGGTGAGGGAAGAGAGCAGGGCTGAGGCAGGTGCTGCCCAGCTGGGGTGGGACAGGGCAGCAGCTCCTGCTTCTGCATGCATCCCAAGAGGACGGGGGAGGAGGGGGCATGACCCCCAGGTCTGCGTGGGGCAGGATGGCTGCCACTGTGGGTTAGAGCTGGGGCTGTGCTAGACTCTTCCTGGTGGAGGCTGGGCTGGACTGTGCTCAGAGTGGGCAGTGGCACTGGGGGGAGGGCTGCGGGG